TCAGGAACATGAATATGTGAATATATAAATGCCAGTTTATATATCTTCTAAAAAGGGAACTTCCAAGGTTAAGACTATTTGTTCTAGGGGCATCTTGGCAAATGATAGCACTTTTCTGATTCATAGTTTTAGATATACTCATTAAAAAATTCCAACAGTTCCATCATTTTCAGCTTAAATCCATACATATACAATTCTATGTAGATATGTATGACTGACTATATCAAAAGAGGTATACTTTTTGAAAATTCTATCTTACTGAGTTTTCACTTCATTTTAAATGTTCTTTATACCTCTTACAACTTTTCTAAATGAGAGAATAATTCTTAAATTACAAAGATGTTTCTTTTTCCAATCTTGTTCTTCTTGAAAGCACATCTATATATAGACCTTAGACTTCAAAATTTGATTTAAAATTTGCATTTGAAAAAATTCTTCAAGTAAGACATTGACCTTAAAGATTTTGAAAGTCAGAATCTGCATATAAATTTAGCTTTGGCTTCTGCTATTAAAAATACATTGAATTTTAGAATTGGGTGATAACTGTTTTACATTTTTTAATATTGCCAAATGATAAACTTTAGAACTAAAAAATGAAAATCCATGGTGCTACAAGAATCTAATATATCCAACTACATTTCTTATGGTAGTTTATAGAACTTGCATAGAACTCCTAAGCAATTTAGTGACTCTAGATCCTACTGTCTTCACCTGTTTAGGTTATCATTATAAAGTTCCATACACAGAATACTTTGTAAACAAAACAAGTTTATGTACTACAATTTTGGAAAGTGGAAGGCCAAAAATAAGAACTGGCAAATTCAGTGTCTAATGGGGGCTCACTTTCGAGTTCATACACGGCATTTCTGAGGTTCTAGTCTCACATAGTAGAAGAAGAGGGGCTCTTTCAAAACACCTTTTGTAAAGATACCAATGTCAATTATGATGACTCCATGTTCTTGACCTAATCACTTCATGAAAGTCCCACCCCCATTTGCTATCATTTTAAATATTGGTATTTTAGCATATCCATTGTGGAGAGGCTCATAGCATGCAGATCATAACAACTAGACATATATTCCTCCTGTCAATATGAATTATTTTATATACATACAGTTATAGACAGAGAGTACAGCTTTCATTGACCTCTAAACAGAAAACTGCACTGTTATTTCAGATTACATTCTTTATGAATGAGATCCAGTCTTCTGAAAGTTAATGAGGCTGAGAATTCAAGTAGCCATTTTAGCAGAGTGACTTCAAGGGGCAGAATCTTCTAGAGTATCTGGTTTGTGGATGCTGCCAAGAGCTTATAACTTTCATCCTACTTTATTGACAAATGTGAAGATTGAACCCATTCTGGAGAAAAGGCACACAAACAAAACTAAATAGATTTGGTATATATTAATATTAGTCATCACACAAAGACATTTACATTGGTGTTCACATATTTATTTCTAAGTCATCTGGTCTTTCCCATATTTTCTTATATCAGGATATCTGATCTAAATACAATACTATATTTAGTAGTGTTAAATAATTGTGCAAACTGGTGCATGTATTAAACAAAGTACATTAGACTAATTATATATAGGGCTCATAATAATCTCAGAAGGTGCTTTAGTCATATGAAAACAACTCTCTAAGAAAACTGAAATTAAGTAGAACTAATTTGCTAAACTTACATATGGGTAACCAAAAAGGTGTGATCCAGTTATTTAATTTTTCAGATGATTTTCCCTCAACTTATATGACCCAATTTACCACTATGTTGTAAAATCATCTTTTAAAAGACATTTCTGAGCCTGAGTGTGGCAGCACATGCCTGTAATCCCAGAACTGGATAGGCTGAGGGAGGAGAATCCTAAATTCCAACCTACCTAAGGCTACATGGCAAGACCTTGTCTCAAAAGAAACACAAAACAAAAGACATTTATTAAGAATATCTAGTAGAATAACAAAATGTTGTGTAATGTAAGTTAGGACTATAAGTAAGAAAGCATAAGAGACTATTGTTTAGTCTAAATGAGTAAATTTCTAATACAAATAAAATCTTAGAAGGAATTGGGAGGAAGATGGTGGAAGAGAAGATTGCTCTCCTAGGACCCTGTAATCCCACTTCTGGCATTTACCCAAATGACCACAAACAAAGCCACACTAAAGCTACCAGCACAACTATGTTTATCACAGCATTATTCATCATGGCTAAGATATGGAACCAACCCAGATGCCCCTCAGGTAGATGCATTCATCTGCTGATCGAGAAAATGTCACACACACACACACACACACACACACACACACACACACACACACACACGCACTGGAATTGTGTGAATGACACCACCCCATTTGTAGGGAAATGGAAAGACTTGGAAAAAATCATATTAAGTGAAGTAAGCCAGACCCAAAGAAATATAGGTCCCATGGCCTCCCTTATTTGTAATGATTAGTATACATTTAGTACAATATTAGCAGATGCGCAGAATAGCTCAATAATTATGTATGTATGATCATATAAGACGATGCTAAGTGAAATGAACTCTAAGACTTGAACACAAGAGGTTTTTCTTTGTTGTTGTTTTCAATGTGCTATGTGATTTTTTTGTTTCTTTTGTATGTTCTGCCCATTAATGTATATCCCCTGTTATCACTGTATTTAATTTTGGTACCCTGGGTACCGCATATACATTTATTTGAACTAGGGAAGGGAAGGGGAACAACAAAATGGTGAGACAAAGAACAAAGAGGGAACCAACGCAACAGCGATATTCACAAGACAACATGTTGGAAAAGATCTGTACAACTTGTGGGGGGCGGGAATTGAGGGAGGGAAAAAGGGAGAAAAAATGAGAGAAGGGGTAGCAAATTAGACAAGAAATGTAAACACTACCTTACTTATGTAACTGTAACCCCTCTGTCTATCACCTTGACAACTATTTTTTAAATCATAGATAATTCTAAAATGTAAATGTTGAAAGGAATAAAATGTGTGTAGGACTACATGTCAAATGATAAGATTTTCTATAAACAAGTAAAACTAAAATACTTCTAAATTTAACATTTACCCAGGCACAGCTAGTTCTTTTTTTCATTGTTTATTTTCAGTGTCAATGCAGGAAAAACAAAGATTGAAGGTTTTTTTTTTGTTTTAATCTATATGCAAGCTCCAAAATTAAAAAGGCCTATTTTAATGGGAGCTAGTTTAAACCAATTTGACATGAGGGAGATAATACTTGGGAAAATGTGTCTGTGCTCTGTTTTGCTCCCAAATTTTGACTTTTAAACTTATTGTCAAGTCTTCAGAAAAAAACAAGAAACAGTGGAGATAATTAAACATTTGCCTTGGGGGAATTATTTGCAGTTAATTAAAACTGTACACTTTGGGTGTATATTTGCTTCACTGGTTATTAAATTTGAATCATATGTTAACTACCCAGGTTTCTTACTTGTCCATCAAAAAACGTTGCTTCTGGCAAATTGAAGAAATAAGCTTTCTCATAATATACTGAACCATAATGTTTGATGCTATCTCCAAATTTTGAGAAAAAAGAGAGAGAAAGGTAGTGAGGAGAGAAAAGGAAACCCAGAATGATTTGTTTTAGAGCCCATTTTGTTTGGTTATATTAGAGAGTTAGAACTCAATGGAGAGGTGCAAACCCGGAAGAGATGCAATCAATTTGTTGGTAATTCAGGTCTGAATAAGTCTGCAGTCCATGTGTTTTTCTATAGCTACAAAGCAGGTAACTTCAATATCTTTAAATTACTTTCCTTTGCTACATTTAGAAGCAAAATAAGGTGCCAATGGCTCACTCATATAATCCTAGCTACTTAGGATGCTGAGATCTGAGAATCTGGTTGGAAGCAGCCCAGGCAGGAGAAGACCATGAGACTCTTATCTCCAATTAACTACCAGAAAACCAGAAGTGGTGCTGTGGCTCAAATTGGTAGAGCACTAGCCTTGATCAAAAAAGCTCAGGGTCAGTGCTGAGGTCCTGAGTTCAAGCACTAAGACAGACCAAAAAAAAAAAATCGATAGGCTCATAAGCTTCAAGAGGGCAATGATTGAGTCATTGTTTCCAATTGACTCCTTGGAGTCCAGAGTAGTATCTGACATTGTTTTTATTATGTTTCATTTTGTTTTTAATTTTTATTGTAAAGGTGATATACAAAGAAGTTACCGTTATATAAGTCCAGAAAGGAGTACATTTCTTTTTGAACAGTGTTACCCACTTTTATTAGTTTTATATCAATACATGTGATTTCTGTACTCCTGCTGTCCTATTCATAGGCTGGCTCATTTTAATCTTTATTAAAGAACTTTCAGGGAGACTTCAAACTTCTAGCTTTGCAATAGCTTGTTTATCATCATCAAATCCTCTTACCCACATTATTTCCTGTGTAATGTGTACCATACAATATGTAATGTAACCAAAAAGAAAAGATGAGCCTATGTTGATTCCACAATTAGAAGTACTACAAGAAGGATGGAATGACACTGCATGGAACAGCAGGTCAGCATTCCCTTGTTGGTCTTATGCAACTGGCATACATCATGGCGAAAAGACTTAATTACCACTAGGTTTCTGAGGGGTTGAATCTGACTTTTCAAGGACTCAGGCACCCATCTGTGGATGACTCTAGTACTGGAAACATTAAGAGCAGAAAAATTAGATATTCCTTTAATTTTCTCTATTTTGCTTTCTTTTTATATCTTTTGCCACAATTCTAAGGCTTTCACTGATGCATGAAGCTTGCTTTGTAATATTTTGTCTCTTAAAAAATGCTACAACTAAATTTTCTACCTTTGAAAGTTTTTTGCATATATCTTGGGTAATATTTTAAGAAAATATTATTTATTCATGAAGACACTTGACTGTTCTCGTGTTTATGTTTTTAAATAAATTCTCTCTCCCCAAGCATAAACCTACCATATTAATGCTAGAACCTGCTTTTCCACCATAAAATGCTCATTAAAATTTTTCCTTCTCTGTTGTCAGATTCTGCAAAGGATGACAACATTGTAAAAGATGATAAAGTAGCAGATCATTCCGAGTGTGACCAAGATCATCCCAATGGTAAGTTCTGAGAAAATTTTCAGGGATTTTTTTTTGTACTGGAAATATATCTCAGAAAACAGATTTGAGCTTTTCTGGGCGGGAACATTGTGTAAGTTCTGAATGCTGGCTGATTGGCAGCTGCCATCTTGGGAGATGGGGGATTTTCCACAATACCCATCACTCATTAGTTTTGATTTAGTCTGCCTTCATTTGTTTTTATTATTCTTACCTGCCTGGATTCTATAAACATTGGGATAGGTAGCTATTGAAATAAATATATGATAAGAATGAAAATAAATGTGAGACATATGGAGAGTAAACCCAGGAGATTAGATCTACATACCCTTGGAATACAAAAAGAACCAAAATGAAGAATACAACAGTAGAAATGAAACAATCTTCAGAAAAAAAAGTTTAGCTAATGCAAACCACGTTCTCTGCCCCAAACATTGGAATACACATTATATTTAGAGGCAGAAATAATGAAAACTCAAATAAGAACAGACACCTACATAGCCTCATGGAATTTCTCAAGATCACAGATAAAGGAAGGCTTTTAAAGTATACAAGAAAGCCAGAATCCAGTTATAAGTAATATCACCAGAATCCATTGAGCCTTAACCCTCCTCCACAAACCTAAATGCTCAGAGAAAATGGAATAACATCTTCAGAGCTCTAAAAGACAGTTTCTATATTTAGTGAAGTTAATATTCATGCATAAAGTCAAGTGTAATATTTTCTCAGGATTACAAAGATTAAGAAAATGTGCTTCCCAGGTATCCTTTCTGAGTAAACTAATCAAAAGCCCATACTCAGCAGTAACTCATAAATGCAGTAAAGAAGTAAAAATCCAAGATTGGGAAAGGCATAATTGGAAGTGACTATAGAGTAAAGAACTAATTGAATGTATGAACACATTAAAATCATTATTTCAAGATTAGTATCAAATATTTTAAGTATTTTTCATCTTCAAAATATATAGCATATATTTTTTAAAAATAAAAACAAGATTAGGGATTGCTGTACAATAACAGAAGTCAAAATAATTTAGACCATGTATCTCATTAACAGCAAATAAACTAGACAAGGTAATATGTGTATGTGTTTATATTACGTATAATTTGATTATATAGCATATAGCTTCCTATTATATATGTGTATAATGTAAACATTATATATTATAAGATATGCAATAGATTATTCACACATATTTTGTATGTAAATACAGGCATATATGATGTCAAGAGACTGTTTAAAGGCATCAGAGAGCAAACAAGGTAATAAAATTTGTCAAGCAAGGTTTTAGGCTTCCATATCTGGAAGCCTAGAATTTAGAACCATTTTTATCTTAGGACATTTTCTGATTCTGCAGAAAGTACCTCAAATCCCATTGGTAAAAGGACAAGAGACCTAACAGCCGCTATGCGTTAGGAGCAGGATTCACCCTAGCAGGAAGACTGAGGCAGCATTAGCTCTACCTTCTAAAGCCTGCGGCTCACCTTCAACTCATCTCAATCTTCAGACTAAACTAAGACCAGCCCAGACTACTAGTTCCCCCCAAGAAACCTGAAAAGAAGTAAAATATTTACCAGAGGGAAAAAAAGTCTAGCATATTGCAAATAATATTTATGAATAATTTGTGAGATATACCTAGCACACACATAAAAATTTCCAGACAAAAGAATTAGGAAACAAGGCAACATGAAAGACAAGGGATGAGAGAAGGAAACCTGTATGAGATGAAAATAATAAGTATAGACACAAAGCATGAAACAATCATGCTGACCATGCATTATAGAGATAAAAGAAAGATAGAAAATTTTAACTGAGACCTAAATATGGAAAACCAAAAGGAAAAAGAAATCCAGGAGCAATAGATGGTATAATTCAAATTAATAATTCAAGGAACAGATCTATGATTGAAGAAAATTTTAGGCACAAAAAGGATAGGCCCAACATTAAAAACAGTGGAATAAAAACATTACAGATACTGGAAAGATCCTGAGGATAACATGCAAAGACAGAATCCATCCCAAAGTAAAAGAGACATGCTCAGGAGCAACATTTAAAGAAAATAGAGTGAGAAATTTCCTACATTGATAAAGGACATGAGGCCAAATGTTCCCAAATCCCTTTGAACTCTACGCAGAATAAATAAAAATAAATCCAAACTAGATCCATTAAAGCAAAACTGCTAAAAGCCAAAGATAAAATGAACATCTAAAAAGCAATCTTCAAACAATCCCTTGGGCTGATAGCTGACTTTCTAATAGGTGTAATGGAAATAAAAAGACAATATAGCAAAAGAGCTATCAACAAAGGAGAATCAATCAGGAGCCACAAAACATGTTTCAAGAATAAAAGTTAACTACAGATAATTCAATAGAAAAAGTGTGGCTCATCACTAGAAATTTCAGGTATTCTGTAGGTAAAGAAATATTAAATCCATGTAGTTAAGGACAGATGAAAGAATTAAGAACACAGTAAATGATGATTATTGAATGAGTTTAAGTAACTATTGATAGTATAAATCGACAATGATCATAATAATAATGCCTTTTGCAGGAGTTGAGCTATAGCATTAAAGAGCTGTATTTATTTAATTAGATAAATTAAATATATGTGTGTTCCAATGTTTTTGCAGTGTCATGGAAGGTAAAACTACCGATTAAGATTCAGTTTCCTAAGCCAAGCACCAGTGGCTCATGCCTATAATGGTAACTACTTAGGAGGTTCAAAGCCATTCCTGGCAGGAAAGTCTCTAAGAATCTTAGCTCCCATTGACCAGGAGAAATCAGGAAGTAGAATGCCAGCTTGAGCCAGATGACAGAGCCACACCCTGAGTTCAAGCCCCAGTATGGTGTGCATGTGCATGCACTTATGCGCACGACACACACACACACACACACACACACACACACACACACAGATTCCACTTTCTAAGTCTCAGTGATCCCACCAGTCAGGAAACAAGGAGACTTTGATTGCCACAAATGACTGACTGCCTGAACAGTTTCCAAGCTGTAGTACAGAGGAAGAACCCTTACCAGGAAACTCCCTCTGTTAAGAGAGAACTGAGGGCTCTTGGAAGCTAAAGGAGCTAGAGTTTGCATGGCAGAGTCCTGAACAAGAAAGTGTTCCATGGAAGAAATGCCCTAGAGACTTTGGGCAGAGTATTGGCTGGTACATCCATGAGAGGAAACTCTTCAAGGGCAGGTAATTAACATCAAGAAACTTGAGCAAGGCCAGGAGCAAGTGACTCAAGCCTGTAATCGTAGCTACTCAGAAGCCTGAGATCTGACAATCATGATTCAAAGCCAGCCTGGGCAGGAAAGTCTGTGAGACTCTTATCTCTAATTAACCATCAGAAAACTAGAAGTGGCACTATAATTCAAAGTGGTAGAGCACTAGCCTTGAGCAGAAAAGCTCAGGGACAGCGCCCAGGCCCTGAGTTCAAGCCTCAGGACCAGCACCAAAAGAAAGATGAGAGACTTGAGCAAATGATACCTGCAGTTTCTACAGGGATGGCAGACATGCCAGTTGCCACCAAACCAGACTGGAAAATCTAAAGCTTCACAGAGAACTCAGAAAAGTTTTGCCCCAGCTATGAGGGAAATCAAGCTATAGAATCATGCTATTCTTGTCTCCTTTGTACAACTGACGAAAAGACTCTAAAGAATCAAACTTTCTCTTAGTAACATCATTGCATACTAGAATGAAGTGTAGGACTAGTTATAGGAATTTAAGTTCATCTCACACAACATGAAGTCAAAATTAACAAAAATTACCAGGCTTGTAAAGAAATATTGGCAGTCCATTCTCCATGCTTCTTTTGAGTTTCCTGCTTATCTTGTGAAAAAAGGCATTGACTGTCTGTGTTCTGATCAATCTTTTCACACATATTTATATAGCAAAGAACCTTGGTAGAGAGTGTCTCCATGCGAAGTGAAGAGCAGGCTTGCTTATTACCTCAGAAGATAAAAGTATATATTATCTTCCTCCAAATCAAAGAACAAGCATACTTCCCCACCTTTAAAAAAGATTCAGATCATTTATGCTGATAATTCTATCCTTATGACACAACCCATTAAGTGTACAGGTATTACCTGGTCTACTTTGTGTCACCTGTGAGAACTGGGGCTCAGAAAAAAATGGTAATAAGTATTAATGGTATGGCTACAGAGGAAAGATATGGCAGGATACAAAAAAGAGTTGTTCATAAGACTGACTTCCATAATGGCAACTCAAAAAATAGAAAGACTCTATGCCATAGACTCAAACAAAATAAATTAGCTTTATAAAAATGTGGCCATGTGTGGTAGTACTTGGGAAGCAGAAGCAGGAAGATACCAAGTTCAAGGCCAACTTGGGCTCCATAGCAAGACCCGGTCTCAAAGAAATAGGAAGTAAAGAAAGAAGTAGAGAAAGAGAAAAAGAAGAAAGTTTATGCACAAATAGAATTAAATCACAACAGAATTGAAATAAGGTATCTTGCTTTCTAAGTTTCCCCAAAAGTTTATGCCAAACACAAAAATGTGTTTGTTAATACAAATAATAAAATATAACTTAGCAGTATAACCACAGTTCAGTGTATAAAATGAGGTGGCAGAAATATAAGAAGATAGTTGTGTCCGTAGGATAATTGGATCACGTTATCTAGTTTCAGAAGTACTCAGGTTGAGTTAAATTCAATATATTTGTAAAGCTTAAAAGGATGAAGTTAGAATAAATGGATATCAAAAGAGAACATAACAAACCAAGTAAGAATTCTAGCCAGAAGTCTCAAATAAGAAAGAGTTAGCTATTTTATACTGATGAAAATTTAAATCTCTCATTAAATATAAGAGTGATAGATCTTCATGTGTCTGTCTATAGTATGGCAAGACACAATACAAAAACAAATCTGTTGGAAATTCAATGGGGAATTCACAGATAGAGTATTATCCACAATAACAGAACAAATCGCCTAAAAATGACCTTAGAATGTTTTAAAACTGTGATTAACAGTGTAGCTCTGC